ATGGGGTCTCCACCATCGAAATGGGGGGTTGGTGGGGTCTCAGCCACCAAAATGGGGGGGCGATGGGGTCTCCACCATCGAAACTGGGTGGTAATGGGGGTCTCCACCATCAAAATTAAGGGATTGGTGGGGTCTCAGCTACCAAAATGGGAGGTGATGGGGGTCTCAGCCACCAAAATGGGGTTGATGGGATCTCCACCACCAAAATGGGGTTGGTGGGGTCTCCACCACCGTAATGGTGGGTGATGCAGTCTCCAGCATCAAAACTGGGTGGTAATGGGGGTCTCCACCATCAAAATGGGGGGGGTGATGGGGTCTCAGCCACCAAAATGGGGGGGTGATGGGGTCTCAGCCACCAAAATGGTGGGTGATGGGGTCTCCACCATTAAACTGGGGGGTGATGGGGTCTCCACCATCTAAATTAAGGGGTTGGTGGGGTCTCAGCCACCAAAATGGGGTGTGATGGGGTCTCCACCATCAAAATTAAGGGGTTGGTGGGGTCTCAATGGGATCTCAGCTACCAAAATGGGGGGTCATGGGGTCTCCACCACCAAAACTGGGGGGTAATGGGCATCTCCACCACCAAAATGGGGGATGATGGCATCTCCACCATTGAAACTGGGGGGTTGGTGGGTTCTCCCATCATCAAATTGGGGGGGTGATGGGGTCTCCACCATCAAAATTAAGGGGTTGGTGGGGTCTCAGTGGGATCTCAGCAAACAAAATGGGGGGTCATGGGGTCTCCACCACCAAAACTGGGGGGTAATGGGCATCTCCACCATTGAAACTGGGGGGTTGGTGGGTTATCCCATCATCAAATTGGGGGGTGATGGGGTCTCCACCAATGAAACTGGGGGGGATGTGGTCTCTACCATCAAAACTAAGGGGTTGGTGGGGTCTCAGCTACCAAAATGGGGGATGACGGGGGTCTCAGCCTCTGAAGCTGGGGGGACAGAGGAAGCAGCGCGTTGCTGGACTCACGTTGCGGGATGTGCGCGGGTGGTTTGATGCTCTCCGGGTGCTTCGGCGGATCTTGCCGCAAGGGGGGACTGAAGGTCTCGTTACGGATGACAGGCGAATGCATCTTCTCGTCCTTCACCACCATGGGTTGAGATTGGACGACGGAGGCGGCTCTCATCTCCTGCCATGGTGGGGAAAAAAAAACAACAACCCAAACTGGTCAAGAAACCTTGGGTGATGCCCTTACCTCACCCCCACATCCCCAAATTCCCGATGCAAACTGCTGGCCAATGGCCCCTGGGCTTTCGGCGCTTGATTCCCAAGCTGGTGGTGGGAAGATGATGGTCCCCGTTGGCCGGGACCCCCGCGGTTGGGTTGCTCTGCTTTCCTTTTTACCTGTTTTTTTGGCTGGATAGTTTGTTGAGGTGGCGACTGGTGGACCAAACCCTGGAACTGCGGCATCTGTGGGGAATGCATCATGAGAGGGGAAGGGGCTTCCCTCAAGTGACCTGGGAACAGTTTGGCATCAATCAGTTAACCGTCGTCACCACTGGCACGCCAAACATCACCCGAAAAAAAGCCGGTCGGCGCACGCCATTGCCCCCCACCCCACCCCGTGGGACAATGTCCTCTTCTTGCTTGAAGCGTGGTGGCCTTGGGATGTCCCCAACGGACTCCAGCCACCTCCTCCCAGCCGGCACCTCCAAAATTCGGCGCTGCCATAAGCGAACGCCAAGGGGAGCAGAAGATGCTCCAAGGCTGCACGGTGACTTGTCCTGCCTTGGTGATGCCCGTTTGTGGTGTGTCCCCCCCCCATAATTCCATTCCTTCTGCTCGTTCTCCTGGTGATCCATCAATATTCCTGGCTTCGGACACCCAAGCACCAACACCTTGCCCTGCCTGCACCTCTCCTGCCTGCACCTCACCCTGCCCAAAGCCCCAGAGTAAGGACGCGTTGGCTCTATGAGCCAACGGGAGGTTTTTAGGAGCCAGGAGGCTCCATCTCAAGGCATCAGGTCCAAGTTTGCAGTCTCGGGCATCACGTCCAAGCTGCCTGCAGCAGCTCTGCAGGCAGGAGAAGCGGCTCCAGGCGCTGCCTGCCCTCATCTGGCTCCATCCCTTCAAATCCATGGATTTCATCCTACCTATGCCTGTGGGAATGGCTTTGAGAGCAAAGACCCAACAGGCCACCACCTGAGGAACCATGCAGCCAAGCCAAAGCAGGAGCGAGAGCTCCCGGAACCGCAGAGGTTTTATGGGTGCCCGGACTCAAAAGCACAACGCTGCCGGAGTTACCCCAGTTGGAGATGTTCTCCATCAAGAATGTTGGTGGTGGCATCACCAAACCCATGGCTGTCGTGGAGATCTGGGATCTCCCAAGCCAACGTGGAAGGCTGAGGCCCGTGGCCACATTATCTCAGCTGCTTCCTCCCATTTCTGGGACGGCTGGTGGTCATCACACCGGGTTTCCTCCAGCTCATCCCTTTGCCTCCTCTGCCTGGCAGCCAAGCAGCTGCGGTATCAGAGGCCGCGCTCCGAAAAATGCCGGGAAACACCAGTGGGGGATCCACAGCTCTGACATCCTCCAAGAGTGGACCCCCTGCCTCCTCCAGAGAGACCACCCAGTGCTGGCACCCAGCCAGGATGGAGACAAACGCAAGGCCAGCGCTCTCTGATATCAGAGCTGTGCCGAGACTCAAAAATTTGACAACCTTGAGGTCTTCAAAGATTTGAGACCCTGGAGATTCTCAAAAACTTGAGATCTTTGAGATCCTCAAAGATTTGAAAGCCCTGAAATGCTCAAAGATGAGATCCTTGAGTTCCTCAAAACCTTGTGACCCTCAAAAATTTGACATCCTGGAAGACTTGAGACCCTTGAGATCCTCAAATTCCTCAAAGACGTGAGATCCTTGAGTTCCTCAAAGAACTGAGATCCTCGTTCCTCAAAAATGAGGTTCTTGAGCTCCTCAAAGACCTGGGATTGAGTTCCTCAAAGATCTGAGAACCTCGAGATCCACAAAAACTTGAAATCCTCAAGATCCTCAAAGACTCGAGATCCTCGAGCTCCTCAAAGAACTGAGATCCTCGTTCCTCAAAAATGAGGTTCTTGAGCTCCTCAAAGACTTGAGATCCTTGAGTTCCTCAAAGATTTGAGATCCTTGAGTTCCTCAAAGATTTGAGAACCTGGGGATCCACAAATACCTGAGATCCTCAAGATCTTCAAAAGCCTCAGATCCTTGAGTTCCTCAAAGATCTGAGAACCTCAAGATCCTCAAAACTGAAATCCTCAAACACTTGAGAGCCTCAAAAATTTGAGCTCCTTGAGATGCAAGATGGGAAGAGGCCTCGCTGGGCGGTTACGTCAGGCTCCAGCTAACCAGGACTTCCTCCACACCCACCACCGTCTACTGACGGGTGCTGGCGGACCTCGAAGAACACATGGAAACCGCCCCATCGCCCCGTACCCCCTCCTCATCACGCAATGCAACTTGGCTC